AAAAGCACCAAACCTTCACGTTTTTATCATGCTTATGCTGATGGAAAGCGCTCTCTTCACTTTTTCTAAAAAAAAAGTATGTAAATTTATTGAAATGCGCCAGCAGTCATTTTGAAATACTGCTTCATTTAGCTTTACTTTGGACATCCTTTTCTAATTTTGCGTATTTTTAATACTTCCATAGCATATTTTCAGGCGTCACAGTACCATAAGCAGCAAAAACGCTTTTTTGGTATTTTCATGTTACCATTTTGTATTATACATTGTTCTACCTAACAACTACCCAGGCAAGCGGGAACTAGGTTTTAGTAGGCAACAACACATACTTTCTATTCGAAATATCAATTATTCCGTGCGGTATGTTAATGAAAATCAGAGAGCATTTGTTCCTGCAGTTGGATATCAAGGTAATAAAGTTCAATACTTTTCCCAGCCCCGATATACCTAATAGAATGATTTTCGGTTGACTTTATATTGCATATATCGATCAATATGTGAGCTACATTAATGAAATTCAGAGCCCATCTTTCTCTGTTAACAGTGTGTTCTTGAGATTGAAAGATATAAGAAATCGGGCCAATAACAACCCTAGCCTCCACATATCTAGATAACGAATTTAAAACTTCAGGATGATTTTATAACTTACATATACCGGTTCATAAGTAAGATGGCTTAGCAAACCTAGGTGAACGAATAATGTTGAATATGACATAATACAGCTTTGCTCAGATATCTTTAAAATAATGTGATTTTAATACTTGCAAACTGCGAGCGTATTTAATGTTCGGTTCCACACTAACTTAACTCTTCCTTATTTATTGTTGTTGTTTGCTTTTCTATAGGTGTACAATGCTTAAGCTAAATTTGCATTTTGTATTTTCCAACTAAGCCATTTAGGTAGTTGTATAAAGGAATGCCGTCGATGTGTACTTGAATGTGCTGATTCACCCTTGAATCTACCATATGTCTAATATGTTAGATGTGCGAAAAATAAGAAAGGTGCTTTCACTAAAGTGTCAAACCCTAAATGTAACCCGGTCGAAAGAACTGAAAATGTGCTCAAGGATATTTATTCCTATTTTTGGTAAAATTTCCAAGCATCTTACTTTGGAGTGAGAATAACGAATACATTTTTGATGGAGGTTCCTTTCTATGAGCAAATAAAAACGAACTTTATATACTGACATATATAATATTAACCATCCATCAACTATCTCATTTGCAATAAAACCATCTAATGCCTTTCGAAAACTGTATTTAAATTTATGTAAATAATTTATGTTCGAAAGGTATATATTCTGAACTAAAGTATTGAATTTAAATGCAGCCATTTGATTGCCGTCAGCAATTTTACTTTAAAAACGTTTAAGAAAACTAAATATGCACACAATATATATTTAATATGTTTACTGTTATCATTGAACGCACCCAAAATCATTTTTGTGTACGCGGTCACCACTGGAATTCCCAAAAAAAAGCAAATCCCTCTATTATGAAAATAGAGGCTTCACTTTGAACAAAGAAAATCAAGTGAATGCCACAAAACAGGCACTCTGCTATCATTTTAACAGCGTTTGTTTTTGTTACTGGTCTACCTGCGCAGTGCTAACGATAACAAGCTCCAGAGCGAGGTAATGGTCACAACTATGAATGACGTAAAATCAAAATAAACCAACTGCAAAGCAAAGCCACAGCCAAGCGGCACGTGACCCTGCATCCCCGGTGGTGGTCCATCTACTCGCACTTCCGCTAACACAACTGTCAGTGTAACGGAAATGACCCAACACGCGTAGTGGCGAAGCGAATTTGTTATATATGAGAGTATAGGTGTGAATTTGTGGGTGTGTGTATTTGTTAACCTCTCTGAAAACCTATGCACTATGTTTCGCCACTACTCGCGTCGCTTTCAAAAGCAGGAATAAACAAGCAAATAACATACAGGCGAGTGAACAGCTGTGGGAGATGTGAAAGAGTTTTCAGTTTACTGGAAAATGCAACTCATTCGGATGTTACCCATACGCCCCGTTGGACCGACGGTAACTGCTACCTAAGCGATCATTTGTGTTGTTAATGTTGTTGATGGTGCTGCGGCTTTTCGTTATGCAGAGTAAGCAATTTCAATAACTCAAGCGGTACAACGGCTCCAACAAATGAGTGTAAGTGAAAGTAGGTGCATCGCGTGAACAAAAACAAAGATGAAGAAGATGAAGCGAGATAAATCAAACCAGCATAAAAATGCGCGAAAAATAACAGGCGGACGAGAAGACGAAACATAAGCCGTACTTTTGCGTTTTCGATCGAATGAGTGTGTGCGTTTTGTTGCCATTTTCACTTTATTTTGGCTAATAAGTTGTAAAGAAGTTGGCATTAATAGCTCTGAGTTTGGCCAGCAGTAATTTATTTCCTACACAAAAAGTCTCATTTGAATTGTGGCTGCTGACGCTTGAAATCAAATTATGTGCAGCAGAGCGTTCCTAATGAATTGAGTTGCATAATAGATATAATAAGCAAGCGACGGTGAAATACAAATTAAAAAGTGTTGAAAAACTTGTCGTGCAACGTCCGGGCAGTTTTACGCCACAACAACAATAACTATGTTATTAAAATCTTAAAACTAAAGGATAAAAAAATGCAGAGAAAAGCAAAATCTGTGTTAAGCGAAAATATAGCCAAAACAAGGACCATAAAACTGAAAAAGTAAGCAAAATAAATAATAAAATCCTACAGAAGGAAAGAGGCATGCTGAAAGACGCAATGTAATTTCCTGAATTTACTGTGAAAAAGAATACTCACTAGTTTAGTAAACTAATTTTATTTGGCCTCAACAAACATTTTGTATTAAATACAACTACTATACATTTAAACTTTTTCGAATGAATCTTTCACTCTTCTACATTTTTGGCATAGTTGCATTTTTCGAGAAACATTCATAAGAACTCAGCAGCCTATGAATGAATGTGTGCTCAAAATATGAATAGTCATGCATCCATGCCCTTTCCAATTTCCTTCCTCAGCATTTTGTTCTTATACAAAGCACTTAAGCTGTTTTCGCACAACCTGAAGTCCATTCATAATAGAAACAGTGGTAACATGAGCCAACATCAAATCTATTTCATTTTTGCTTATTGTTTTGATTCATTTTATGAGTTTTTAGGTATTTCTGATATAATTATAAAAGTACAAATCGCACATTTATATGAGGATATGCCATAAAATCATATTATTTAAATTAAACCAAAATTTTGGCAACCGAATCTAATGCATTATATAATTAGCTGCACAATCAAAATAAAACCACAAAGCTAAAGTCTGCAGTCAAGCAGAATGGCAAACAAATTAAATTAAAACATTTCAAAAAGCATAATAACTTTTTTTAGTTTAGTTTCAAAATTTTAAATCACGACCTACAAAGAATCGGATACGGTTTTGTTGCAAAAATCGGAAAAAATATATAAAAGGTTGTCCCTCTTTGTACTTAAGAAATTTCTTTGTCAGCTTCGTACGCATACTATTCTCTGAGACCAAACGATTTTTTGTACTCCTAACGGCAAGCGATGTATCAATGTGAGTCTTTCCCAGAAGACCTGGTCAATACTATATGATAAAAAATGAGATAAACTATTTGTGAAGCAGCCTGAAGCTCATTCTTTTTCATAATTATGTCGTTATGAATTCAGACTAATTGTCATGTGAAATAATATTTATGACTATGATATGATTTAAGTAATTAAGTAATTAAATTTAAATTTTGACACTTTACATGGCCAACAACAACAATCCAATAAATTTTGTGCAAAATTTCACCACCAACACACGAAAGCTAAAATGAAAAATTTAATTAAACAAATGTCAAATAAGTGAATCGATAAAATTAAAAAATGTGTGAATCTGATTCCGTTAAACAGCTCCAAATGCAGCAAAACTGCGTGAGTTCCCCAAAAGCGTGTGCGGCTTCATGTTTTGTGAAAATATTGTCAACGCCAAAGCAAACGAGCATGTTGTTGTTATTGGCGTTTATTTATTTACAGCACGCCAACAACGGTAATTTGCAAACATTTTGCAGCAGCAATTTTTGTTGACGCTAACGATTTTTGTGCCGCAATCATTCGCGAGCTTGTGCAATAACAACAACAGAAGGCAACTGAGCTGAGAGCAAATCAAAAAGCGCACAAACCATTTTCGGCCGAACTTTTCCGGTTATTTGCGAAAGTCATTGTGGCAACCCTAATTAGCCATAAAGTCAGATGGTTGCCACATTGTATATTGTTCATATGAATGTGTGAGAGTGTATTTACATATCTATATATGAGATCTCATGCCGTTTAGCATTTTAGTCGTTTTTAATTTACGACCTAATTGCGCAATCGTTTTGAGGTTCAGGTTTTTAAAGGTATTTTCTGCAGTTTAAAGTAATAAAAATATCAATTTTTCCATTCATTTCAATATGCATGACTTTTCGCTTTAACAACTACCAAATCTAAATCAAATATTTGCAATTTCTTTATGCCATTCCTTTACAATTATATTTCTTCATAGTTATTTACTTTCCTCCGCATTTTTTATTGTTCCATTAAAAATTTAATTTGTTCTGAAATAAACCCCAACATAAGCCACACACGTATACACATATAAGCTTCGAAAGAAAAATAATTAATTTTAAATCAAAGTAAAAATGTGAATAATTTTCGGGCAAAAATCCATTAATAAGTTGCGTGTTGCGTAAAAAGTGTGTAGCTTGTCAAATAATGTTTGGCAAGTAATTTAATTTTCTGAGGATTAATTCAATAGATAAAAAGCAAACATTATTAGAAATCAATTAAAAATTCGGTGGAATTACTAAATTTATGTCAGTCAGTGGTATGTAGCAGACTTCAAGCTAAGAAAATGTAGTGTCCCAAAAAAGTTGTAAAGAATGTTATTAAAGGGTATATATGTATACAACCACAAATGCTTAGCCTCAATACTAACCGATATTTTATATGTGATCTTTCTCGTTGCAGGATGAGAAGAATCAATTGCTCATAACAAATATTTGGCTCAAATTGGTAAGTTGGGAATCAAAACAAGAGCAAAAGCAACAAATATTGTCACACACTACAATAACAAAAGTCAGTCATGAGACACATTCACACTCGTCAGACAAGGCTAAACCGAATTAAACGAAAATAGAAAATAAATAACGAATTGTTATATAAATAAAACACAGTGAAATAAATATATGAAAATAACACCGAAGCAAAAGGAGAAGAAATTCGATTAGTCGCTCATTTGTGCGAGCGTCTGCTGGTCGGAATACAAATTTTAATCAAAGTTCGATTAAAGACGCATTAATCTTCAGCGTCGGCAAATCTTCTGTCCAGGGAGTAATTTCAACAACTATTATTGGCTAACTTCCAGACAGACAGCAAATAAACATAGTTTGTGTTCAAGTAGCGAGGTAAATAGGAAAGATACAGTTATATGTTTAAATACTTAGTTGTAGGAAGCATTTTGGTATTTCAATTTATGTTCATATCTTATGACACTATTTGATTTATTTTGTGATACCAACTAACTTCCTTTCCCTGTAGAACCCACACTCATTGCTGAAAGCTTAAACAATTGCCCTAATGGCTGGTCAAAAATCTGCCGGCAGAATGTGTCTATTGTAATGCGGTGGCATAAACAGTTACTAGAAGGCTTGAATCTTTGCTTTAAGCAATTAGCACTTTTATCACTGAACTTGAAGAAACAATTTTCACAAACTCCACGAAACAAATGTAAAATCTGAAACAGCAACACAACGATTACTAGAAGATTTTTTTTTGTCGAGTGTAATTTCATCTTAGTAGAAGAAAATAAGGTGAATGGAAATAATAAATTGAATGAGATTTGTAATTATGCCACGTGGAGGAGTAGTAACGGAAATGTGATAGTCCCCTCTAAACCCCTATTATTGGAAGAAGAAAGCATAACAATGTCCAAACCCTGGAAAATAAGCCAAACTGGCATCCAGTGACAGATAATGGACGCAAAGCTAAGCGCAGAAAATGTATAAACAAAGGAGGAGAAAACGAAAGCGAAGAGATTTGATGTTTATTTCCCACTCACGTGGTGAGTCTTGCGAATACTGTATATAACGTGGAGTGACAACTCAAATCCAAAGCAATTAGAAAAAGTGTTAAATCAAAAAGTGGATTAAAAGAATTCGCCAAAAGAAAGAAAGAAGAACTTAAACAACTGCAATTACGACTCAACTACAAATCTGCAATTCACTTAGACGGCTAAGCGGCTTTTAGCGAAATTTGATTTGTTTTGATGAAGTTGGATTTAACACGCTCACACTCTCAAGCAGGCGCTTAGAAACTAAATGTATGTTCTTTTATAACACTTTCCTCCTTCAACAGCGACTTTTTTATGTAATTTTCTGCTTCCTTCCTTCAAAAAAGCACTTTTTAATATGCGGTGTGTGAATGGAAAGAGGACGGGGTGACAGTGCGTATGAGTGACTTTAATTGTTCGTCGCTTACGTATGCTTGTTACTGTAACTGCTGATGAATAATGATGTAAGTGTGTTTGTGCAGCTTACCAAACATTTCGCAATTTACAAAACATTTATTTCTTTGCGCTCAAGACAATAAAAACAGCCACGATTCTCATCTTCCCTTTCTTTCGTATGTCCACAATTGCAGAACGCTTATTTTGGAATTTTGGCGTGTAAATTGCACAAAAGCTAAACGAATTGTGACACAAGTGCCAATAAGGCATCAAGAACGCTTCTATATAGGTTTGTATGTATGCAAATAAGTATATTGAGCATTGTTAAAGTCGCACCTTTCGTTTTGTGTTCGAAAAATATGGAATGGGCGCAAATATTTTGTGAAATTTTCTGTTGTCGCCACCATCCGCAACTCCTTTGCCACAACTCAAAATGAAATTATTTCCATCATTCAGCTTGCAGCGCTGCCTTCTCGTAATTTCTCTTTAGACTATTGTTCTAGCGGTGGTTATACGTTCAACCATATGGGCGAGTCTCTATTTTCATTTTCTTTGCCAAAATTGCTTTTTGCGGAAATTGGAGACCTCTTTTTGCCGTCCTCAATAATAGAAATATGCACTTATTTGTCACAGATTGCCCACTGATGAAAAATAGCGAGTGTGTAAAGTTCTTAGAATACATCTTTTTTTTTGCTCAAACCTAGTTGTATCATTAACACAGATTTCCCCTTTTCCACTTTACAAGCTTTCCTCTTAGCGCTGCGTTCCCAACAATCCAAAAGCACAAGTACCTTCGTAACATCCGCCGTCGAGCAAATAATATGCTGAATCACTGAAATCGTTATTAATAGACACTTACCGCAGAACCGAACATTCTTCACTCTGTTCGCTCAAGCAATCTCCCCGCTTTGCATTCTGCTTATAATTTGGCGGTTGTGCCAAATGTTCTATGATTACTTCTGGCAACATATGTATGTACTTATGAAATTGTATTTTAGTGCAGCAAACAATGCAACACTGCGCTATTAATAACGGTTTGCCGGAATTAGACCAGCATAACGTATCTTAAATAAAAGTGTGCGATTGTTGCTGCAATTTGGAACGCATTTGCTGAGTAATCCATCATTCTGCACTGCACTGGTTGTAGTAAAGAATTATCAAATTAACCCTGCAAAATTATTATATTAATCAAATGGTTTTACACAAAAGTTAGGAATCCAAATGTAGACGACACTGAAACAACGAATAGTGGTAAATGGTGAATATAATTAATTTACAAAGATGTTGAACTAAAAGCTCCACTAGATGACGCTGTAATTAAATTGATTTCTAGTCTATTAAATAATAGTTTTAACTTTGAAATATACTCACGAGTCGCCGTTATAGTTTTTAAAATTTAACTTAATTGTTAATTCTTTTTAAACTCTAAAGGATTTCTAACTCTAAAACCATCTCAAAAGTTTTTTGAAAACAATTAGAATTTATAGAAAAAGCTTTCATCTGTAACTATATTATGTTGCTTCAGTTTTGTCACATAGGAATGGATTGATATGATAATGAATTTTTTAATTTACGAGGCAGGCACATGGAAGAAATAGCCATTAAGGATAGATATTTTTCAAAAAAAAAGTATAGAAATACATATAAACATATATATATTTGCTATACATTCTAGGAAATTGGCATTATCTTCTCACCCTAACCGCAGACACTAAAAAAGTTTTGCCTGTGCTTCTAGTTGTTCCACTCGGCGTTGCGGCACAAGCCGAGCTGCATCCAGCACTTCAGTATCTCATTATTTGGGTGCGACGATTATTTAATTCGAATATTTGAAATGTTCACACAAATAAATGTGCCATTGTTGCCAATACTAAATGAAATACTAATACGAGGCGAAGCAAGTGACTGAACAAACACATATAAAATTCCATATATTTGCATATAAAATCCGCACAATATTTAATGCATGGGGGTGGGAAGGTGGAATATAGAATGCATCATAATTAATATTTTATTGAATACTTTAAGCCAACAACGGTATTAATTGTGCTTATTGTTTGCTCTATGCCTTTGGAAACACCGCAAACCCCTACTAGAATCTATATACATGATTATAAATACTTGTGTCTGTTTATTGCGGCAACATAAGTTGTCGTGTTAATTCTCACATTCAAAGCGTAGCATGTATTAAGTGCCTGCCATGCTCGGAGTTACAAAACTGTTATAATCCGTTACACACACACCCTCGCGCCAGTCAAGAATCACACTTCGCCATGTCAATTTAACTATTCCTTTAGTGCTCTTATTTTTTGGTCATTGTAAGGTCCTCGCTAAAAGCTAAACAAGCGTTATAAACCTCATAAAGACTGTAGAGTTAATCTCAAAAAATTATATAGGCATTGTACCATATTTCCCGTATCGACCAGGAATAAAGTAATATTTTTCATATTTTCCACTGGGAACAAGTTTATGTACTTCCCCTCACCGAAATACATTTTAGTGCATTTTTCTCTTCCCACTTCCCTCACTTTTATGGCGCATGACTGTAGGACATTCGCATTGCCGATATAACACATAAATCATCAATGTTTTCACAGTCAAGTCAATATCAGCATTGCAGCGCTTTCAAAAGTAACATGGGCGCCATACATTGTGTGAGAGAAAATACTGTGGAGTTTTTTCATTTTCTTTTACTCACATACACCATAAATATTGCTTAATTGTGACTTCACTTTAACTCTTTTCTTTTTATTAAAGTCGAATAAATATTTGTATAGACTCAGCAATTTACTTACTCAACGTGGCTGAATAAAAAATGGATATCAGAGCACCTTCCAACGGAGGCAATTTGTACGCAGCAGCCTCTCCCTCCCTCTGTCATTCTCGCAGATCACCGTCATCAAATTTTGGCAGAATTTTCATTCTTGTAGCAATTTGTGAATTCTCTGCCTTCTGGTTATTTTTGTGCAGTTTTGTAAACATTGACTTTCTTGCACAAATATCCCCTAGATGCATTGTATTCGCCCACGCGCACACATACATATACGCACATTAATTGTTCTTATTTTTCACTTACTTTTCCGACTGTCACTCACGTGTTGACTTTTGTCGGTCGCACTAAATGAACTTCCCGTTATTATTACCTTTCTCCTCTCTTTCACACGTCGTACGCTTTCTCGTGGTTTACCTATACATTTACATACGAGTACGTCCATATAAACAATCGGGCATGGTGAACATTATTTCACATTTTCAACAAGTATGTTTGTTTTTTAAATTTTTTTTTAAACTTTATCCTTTTCGTTCGTTGCTCGCGTACTCACATGAGTGACGTTCTTATGGCTGTTGTACGTCTCGTTAGTTGCTTTTATTGCTCTTTGATATTGTTGTTATTGTTGTCAGTTGAGGGAGATAAACTTGCTTGAAGCGATGCTTTTTATTTTATTTCATTCCATTTTGCTTCACTTTATTCATTCATTTATTTGTTCATTTGTTTATTCCTTGTTTCCCACTCACAGCTCGAGTCGAGAAAACATCAAGAATTTGAAGGCTAAGCACGTGCTAATGGTTTGCTCGCAATTCCAACGTCTAATGCACGAATATAGGTCCTTCGAATCTGACCTTTACGACGATCAGCGCTGTGAAATGAAATTCAGCTCTTGGACATATGATGGCTTTTTGGAAAATTGTGCTAAAATTAACAAACTCATTTAATTAACAACGAATTAAGTTGAACGTCTGTAAACGTATAGAGTAAAAGCAATAACATTTCAAATGATAGCCTCTCAACTAAGCTCCAATAGCAAGCGTGACAAAACTAAACAAAACACAAACGATACCTAATAATGGACCCACAAACGAGTTTTACACGCCGCGAACAATTACGTGGTTGTAATTTGGTGGAATTACTTTAATGGCATTTTAATTTACTCGCTGAAGTCATCAATTTACTAACTGACCTCTTATGTAGCTTTTCTTGCTGTGCGTCAAGCTGTTTTCCCTTTTTTCTAGTCGCGATGATGAGGGTAAAGTATAAAGTGAATATACAATTCTTTTAAAATCTCCTCTCCTTCATTACACATGTGTACTTAATAGATATAAGCCCATTTTCGCAACTCATCTGGTTGAATGAGCTTAGCCTCCCCTTTCTGGTACATAATACCACTAGATGTACACACCACTTCAACCAGTACAATAACAGCACACCATAATAAAATGCACCACGACTGATCACACCACTTACCATCACACCATACCTGACCATATCACATAAAATATCACCACAGAGGATGTCATCACACACAATGTCTCACCACGCAAAAAAATATCAAAAATGGATCACCGCTTCTTCGTGTTAATAACTCTGTGCTGTGTGCTTCCCAATAAATTGGGTCCATATTTATTTATCATCTAATAACAACAACATTAGAAGAACCATTCAATATATATACTGCGCTCTAATTTAAAAATCGCTTTTAATAAACTGAAGCACATTTCTCTCCTAACATCAGGAAGTAGCACCAGGAAAACCACTGCACGCCAAATACGTTTAATATCTTAACTCACAGAGTACTTTTGAAAGTGGAATAAGTAAACTTAATCTTTAAAGTAAAAGGAGCTAACGAGAGACATATATATATATATATATATATATAGAAAAACTCACTCAAACATATCTAAGCGCAAACAGAAGGCAAAATTGGCTGAACTATTTTCGATATTTCTCTACATATATAACCAAAAAAATCTCCGAAATTCGAATATCACCAAACATTTTAACTGCTCAAGCAAAAACAGTTAAGTTGCAACAACAAACGCACGGCATCTTCATTTGAATCTAAAGGACACCCCCTGAGAGCCACATGTTAGTTCTTTGGTGGTGCACAAGTTGATGTTCTGGTAGCCTAAAAGTTGATGTTCAACGCCCTGAAAGCTTTTGGTTGCTTTGCGGCTTGTAAGAGTTGCTTTAAGTAAGTGACGATACTCACTTACAAAGAGTCATGTGGGTATTTACTTATACACTTCGGCGGATAATCTTGTTCCGCGGAGGCAGGAAGATGGGCAAATG